CATCAATCAATACTATACAATTTATCTCTGAAAATACTTCATGAAAATTTAATTATTTTCTGCTTTTATATTGCCGACTCTCGAAATATATCCCCTTTGTTATTTTATATTTCTATAAAGGAATTTGGTGAGTTTTGGTTCGTTGTTCTTGAGAAAATTAATACATAATTACTCGATGTAAATGAATTGAATAAATAGATCGAATAAGAAGAAACGATAGTCAGTATGAATGAAACATACTTTTTATTTCATACAAACTAAAATTTCTGAGAATCAGAATCATACAAAGTAATTCTATCAATCAATAATAAAATCAAAGGGATAATCCCTCGAAAGTCATTCTTTTTTACAATCACTTTGTTTGTTGAACTTTGCAATTAACCCAATTTATACAACAACTTCCCTCCTTGTAAAATTTTATTACAAGTAAGACAATCAAATTACTGTTGCGATTTTAAGAGTTACAATTACTGAAATGTGAATCATAATGGAGCAAGCCAAGTAATTAGATTCAAAGCGAAATAAGTACTGTCTCATTGTCTTCTGAAAGCAAACAATTTCTATAACTTTGTTTAGAACACTAAATAGAAACTTTTTGAATTTTATCAAAAAAGTTTATAAGTAATGAATTCAATTACATCTAAATTTCCACTGTTACTTATCTAATTTGAGTAAATTTAAAATTACTGCAGAACGCTTTTGGCAAACTTTTTAATGCATTATATTTTGTATTAATTTAAATTAGTCATTAAAAAAGTCTTGTCCTAAATTGTTAATAAATTGAAAAGTTTTTTTCCCGCTTTGAATAAAATATTTATTTCGCTTAACTTTTCGAATTCATTTCGTAAACTTTGTATAAAATGTGTAAAGCTTTTACTTCATCTAAATATATGCATAATTTTTAGTAACAAATTTTATATAAATTAGTAATATCAGGCAATTGCATCATGCAAGAATGATCTTTTTCTATGCTTAAGAGCTTTAACTTGATCGCAAAGGTTAAAGGTGACGCAATGGAATAAACATCTGTCTTGCGCATTATCTGCACTTTTATTGCGACACGTATGTCTTATTTACTCGATTTTATATTATAAATGATTAAAGACTTATTAAAAAAGTAAAAAATGTTTTCATTAGTAAGATTTTACGACGTGGAAGGCAATATTTTTGCCTCAGAATAGCTCTGAACTATTTTCGAATAATGCACAAATTTGAATATCAATTTAATGACAAAAAATTTAATTTTTATCAGACAGATTTTTGAATAAGCAAAACTTTTGATTAATATCTGAGATAAAACCGTGTCAGAATTTTGTTCGTTAAAAATGTCATATTATTATGCGTGGAATATAGAGCTCAATATTTTGTCTTCGACACAAGCAGCAATAAGATTACATTGTCAATGATTATCCTCAAAGAGATATTTCAATTTTTGTTTTTTAGATAAAAATTTTTTTGTAAAAAGAAAAACAAAATTAATTGCTTATTTAATGCAATTAATTATTTTTGCTATAAATTTTTCTCAAAAAAAAAAAAAAAATTGAAATTATATAAATAGAATGTAAGACTTATGTGTAGTATTCATTTTCAAGTTGGCTTACTTTTGTAATTATTTATGAGCAATTTAATTTCTATTCCAATTTACCCTTTAACAAATTTATTCATCAATTTTTTTCGATCGGAAAAAAACTAATTGAATAATTGAGTTAAGATTAGATTAGATCTACGAATATATTCGGATTCAGTTTGCACATAAAATATAACGCGCATTTATGATAAACTTTGCAAAACATTTTAATTAACCTAATATAAAATTAATTTTTAGAGATTTATTTTTTTGTTTTTAATTCTGATAGAAAAAAATTGAATTCTGATGATGTGTATGATGGATAAATTTATTAAAGGGTAAATTGGCGAAGTTCAATCTGCGCAATGAATGCACAGTTTAAAATGGCATACGTTTGATATAATGAATGATAAGTAATGTTTTGAAAAAAGTAATACTAAAATGAAGCAAAAATAATATTTGTTTTTGATGAGAATAAAGTAATATCACAGTTCATTAAAAATATAACTCTCACAGATAAAAATTTGCATTTTTTTTTAAAAATTTTGGGCAAATTTTGTACAAAAACGCGTATTTTTTCGAGAATTTTTTAGAAAAATGTCATTGCTAGCATCGAAAAAATCAAAATTTTATTAAGTATTCAATAATGCAATGAACTTTGACTCAAAACAAGCGAATTTTGCACTGAACACAAATTAATTTTTTAACTTTAATATTTGCTTTTAAGTTATTGAATTCCAATTTATACAATTTATAAAATTTTTTAAAATTTAATCTCATTTTTCCTTTAATTTTTTTAAAATTTCTAACCATATTTCTATATTCTTCTTATTTTCAATTACTTTGAATTTAACTCTAAACAAAATTTTTTATCTAATACTTTTATGAATTTCTTTTAAACTTTATTAAAATATTTGTTCCAATTTTAATTTTGAAATTTGAAATAATTTGAACTGAATTTTCAGTACTGTTCTCTTTTCAATTTCAGTCCTTCAGGTAATAATGAAAAAATTTTTTAGTTTTAAAACTATTATTATTAAAAATTGAATAAAATTGTAACTAACTAATAAAGTAATAAGTATAGCCTGGTTTGAACTCTAATGCACCAGGAAGCGGTGAAAAATCTCGGAAAACAATACTGATTGAGGATTGTTGACTTGGCGTTTGGCATACCCCGATTAATTTTTCATCCAGCAATTCACAATTTTCATAACCATTTTGAGATACCTTAATAAGCAATCAGTATATTTGTGGGAAAATGAATAAATTATTTTAAATATGCGCAATTTATTTTTAATTTAATAATTTCACTTTTCTTTGACGTAATCTTTTCAGAGAATCATACTTTCAACTTGGTTAATAAAGTAATGCCACTGATTATTTTTTATTATATTTTTATAAACTTCACTCTCATCAAATTTTTCTTAATTCTAATTTATGTTCTTTTCTCTTTTTAAGTATATTTTTTTCAACAAATTATCCGTAAACTCTGTTTTGTAAAAATATGCATTGAAAACGAAAGTAATAAAAGTTTATAACCTAAAGATAACCTTTGGGAATGACTGAAAGATTTATGTATATTATAAGAGATGAAAGTCTTATAAAGTCAAAGATAATAACTCTACGGAAAAATAAGACTGAAAAATTAAAGTAGTCGTAATTTTGTCAAGTTTACGAGCTAATTAATAACTATCT